CAGTATAATTAACATCATAGTTCTTAAGTTTATGTTACTCATAAAATGTATGTTTCCTTATCGGAGAATTTCATATTTTAAAAACATAAAAATAGGTTATCACTCAAAATTAATGATAACTGGCAAATAATATCTTTTTTTTAATTTATGCATTAATAAATACCATTTTGTAAAATAGCATAGCAAATATTTAAATTGATTTTATTGCATGTGCCTTCTGGACTAACAACTTCATTTTAATATCTAGAAAAGAAAATCTTTTTTTTCTACGATAAAGCACCATAATGTTTATTTATCCGCAATTAATTATTTATTTAATTCTGATGTTTATTTTATCAGTATCAGGCGACATAGCGACCGAACTAGTTATTGCTTCGATAGGCAATAACAGTTTACCTGATTTTCTTTTGCCAACAATTCAGAGAGCTACAAGCGATTCTAAAAGAATACAAACGATTATACATGTGTATATTTACCTTTATTTGTCACGGAATGGAGCAAAGCACAGTCGCGTTATTTAGCTTATTTTATATTCTATTTCGTTGTAAATCCTTCGTGATTCCAAAACCCAGCAATGTGTTTATTCACAGTAAATCATTCACAACAATAATTATGTCCGAACTTTACAACATAATGTTGAATTCGATCTTGACTAAAGGAATGTAGGCATCGCTTCGGTTATTATAAACAAATAGATTTTGTACTCTGAAACGCATTAAGATGCAAATTGGTACTCGTATAACACGAAAATTAGCATTTCGAGCGACAATATTGAATGGTGACTCAGCACTTCAGAACATCGGCTCCGGTTACAATGTGACGCAAGTCGCTCACGAGCAAGCCCAGTCGACAAGTTGATTGCAGCGAGCCCGCCCAAACCCTCAATGCCCACTTGTGAAATTTAATTCTTAAGAGGCACACTTTGAAGCCGCATAAAAGACTCTGATAGCTGTAACAGTTCTTTTAATGTAAAATTATCATTTATCTATAATAGCTTAGTGACCAATTACTAATAGTTTTCTAATTACAACGATTAACATTATAGTATAGTATAATCGCAGAGAACAGTGTTAAAAAGGAATATCGATCAAAAATATAATTTAGTCGCTGTTATTTATGTGATAAATTAGTATAATTGCTATGAATCAAAGTAATTTTTAAATAACACGTTCGTCCTTGATTTATCATTCAGAAATCTAGTTGGTATAATTAGAATTCACCTTGAATTGACTAAATTTTCGTTATGACGATTGTGATTCATAGTTTTTCGGTAAAATATATGCATAGAGGTATATAAATAGGTTGAAAGATATAAAAAACAAACTGCGATGTTCTTATTAAGAAGAAGATGTTGTCGTTTACACGAGTACTTACCAGCGGAAACAAATTAATCTCCGGCGTTGATAAAGTTAACATCTCTGACAGCCTGACGATGTCGGAAGTACGGGCGCACGCAGCGACGCTCCCCGTACACCTCCCAGATCTATTACACACAACAAAGTTCACTAGTGGTTCTATATTTGTGCAAATCTATATATATGAAAGAAAGTCGTGTAAGTTACACTATTTATAACTAGCTTTACCGATATGCCTGAAAATTGGTGAGGAGGTAGCTTAGAGCCAGGAGACGGACATAGGATACTATTTATTCATTTTTTTTGAATGATGCCTTGAAGACCTGCTTTTAATTTAACTTACTAAATATTATAAACGCGAATGTTTAGATGGATGTGATGTGGATGGATGGATGGGTGGGCTATACTAATTAAGTTTATTTTTATATCCATGCAGACGGAGTCGCGGGCGACAGCTAGTATTTCAATAAAAATATATTGAATTGTTGCCCATTCATCAGGTAAATACACATCCATACCAAATTTCTTCAAAATTCATGCAGCTGTTCTGGAGATACCATCTAACAAGCGTCCATCCATCCATCCATACATTCCCATATGCGGCATTACTCACTGTCACCCGCGACTCGGTACGTTAGAATTACACGACCATCGCTACCTGCCATAATCTGCAAGAAAATAATTGAATTGATCTGGTATTAATATTATAACCATATAACCATAGATTTAATTATGACTGCGATATAGTAAAAAGGTAACGATATGTGCCAATACTTTCCAACTCATAAAGTAAATTTAAAGGAACATGTGCAAAAGCCCGGTATCCATAAATAAACAATATGAAAATGACAGTCGGCAATTGAGAGTTACCAATTGTCAACGTCACCATTGTCATGAAATGACAGTGACAGATTAAAAATACCGAATTTTATATGCAATATTGTGTTTTGTCGTACTTGCAGAAAAAGTGAAACCAAAACAGAAAACTCATTCATTTGTAGATATTGCTAATTACTTTGGATAACCATCCAAAAAATATACATGCTAAATATGATAACCAATTTTGATAACCTTTGCAGTGAATTAGAAAAACAAGAGTTAGAGGTATTCAAATTAACTTTTTTGAATGTGCCGATATTCCAGCAATGTCGGAATTATTAATTTGATCTTTTATATTTTCAGGCACCCAATGGAGTGGCTTCGCCAACCACATATGCTCAGTTATTGGCCATTTATTTGTACCAAAATGATTTGTAAGTATCTTTTTGTTGACACAAATAATATAAATATTTCCACACATTGTTGTTGATGTTACTTGTTTTAATTATATAGACTCACTCCATACTTACTATGACATTTAAAATTTGTTAATTATCTCTTTAATTGGGTGCTTATTTGTTTTAGATGCAATGCAAAATTCTTATGGAAGAGAATACCACCAAATATTATAAGCAGTAACCCAGAAATAGCTGCAATTTGGACTGTAGGACAGAAGTTGTGGAAAAAAGATCTTGCCGGAACATATCAGGCACTTGCAATTTACAACTGGACTGAACCAATATCTAATATCATTAGGGCACTTGAAGGTATGTTCTTAATATTTACTAAAGTAATTGTAAAAAAATAATAGAGTAGAAACTGTTTAATATATCATTGGAAGAACAACATATTTGTTATGGTAACCAAATGTGATTGTTGGTAATTAGAAAGTCGTAGATCTATATTTTTTTTTAAAATGTAATATATGCTTTTTACAGAGAGAGTGCGAGAAAGAGCTCTTAATTTAATTGGCCGGTCATACAGCTCCATCTCACATAATACCTTGGTCTCTATGACGGGACTCAGCAATGAAGCAATTGCACAAATTTGCAAAGAACGTAAATGGGAGCTAAGTGAGGATGGAACTACAATTAAACCGATACCACCAGTTCAACCAACACCACTTCATACATCTAGTGAAGACCAACTGTTCAAGCTAACTGAATTTGTGACTTTCTTGGAAAACTGAGTAAGACAAGTTTACTTTAACGTAATGTTTAAGAAGTCATAAATGCAACTTTAAACGTGTTTTGGACAGTGACAGTTGTGGAATATAAACCAAATTGCTTGCCTGTCTATCTAAATATTATTTATTAATAAATTGGTAATCTTGGATACACAATATGTTTTGTAATATTGTAATAATTTACTTCAATTGTGAGCATATCACAATGTTCTTGATGTAATTACGTAAACAAGGCAGGCATTTTGACTTCTTAGCCGTGCTTCTGGTTCAAAATAAGTTTTATCCTGAATTAAATGTGAAGATGTACTACTCATTGTAATCTTATTCACATGTGTAAAATGTGTACTTTCATTTAAACTCATAGCCACATACTTTAAGAAATTTCAATAAACATGATAAAACATTTTAGAACTAGTTTTTTTTTTAATAAATCATTTGTCATCGTGATGAAGGGCCCCCAATGGGCTCGAAACTAGTCGGTGCCACCACCGGACGAATATATGTGAGTGTTTAGCCGTGTTTGTATATCAGTTTAGTATAATGTCTCACGAAAGTTTGAATAATTTAAATCAGTTGTCAGTGGATTCGGCTAGGATGGTTCTTAAGAAAACCATACTTTGTTTCATTTTATTCAGCCACTATTGCTTTGGTAGATGCATAGAAAAATGGAAAATAAAATCAAGTTATTTAAAAAAGATGTTTTAATTTCTTACATAAATACAATATAAAATGTAAAAGTAATTGGCAGTGTCAAAATATACAAAATCTTATGATTAATATTGACTTTTATCAAGAATTCGTTATTGGGAGTCAACAATAAAGTATTGACAATTTAGATAAATAAGTAAAGTTATAAAAAAAATCTCACAAGCTATTCTATTTTATAATTCATATTATTCAAAGAACATTATTGAGTCATAAATCAGGAATCGAAACCTTATTACAAAATGAGTATCTACAAATGCTTAAATTAAATTCTCCAATCAACCATCATTTGTTGAACAATTTGGCAACTTTCGAATTGATTAAAATTTCAATAATCTATCTAATATCTACCCTGGAAAGTGACTTGGTTTTGTCTTGGTTGTAATCTCATAGAGTTGATATCATCGTCATCACCCAGCGATGTCTCATATGCGCGGTTTATCTGACCTCCATTTGGTTCGGCGAATACGTCTTTCACAGATATATTTGCAGTTGAAGTACGATGACGGGGCGCAGCACCATGGTTATTATTCAGCTGGGAAAAAAAAAACAATAACATGATCATGAAATACTACGAATATATTGTGTAATTGAACTGTACTTATAAGTACGATACCCTTTAGGCGCTTAATTTCAACATTTTAATGGTGTGATGAACCATCACAAATACTATTTTAACACTGGCAACATGACAATTCCTAATTCGAAACTGACTCGAAAACGATCATTTAATTATTTTTTAATGTTAAATACTTTTCGGCCAAGTACTTAGACTTTAATTATCAGCAGTTGTACTTTTAAAATAAATATAGAAAATTACCATGCCAGTAACACCATATTCGTTATTCGCACCAAGTGTCTGCATTTGCGATTTCCTTCTTTCTGCCATCACCGAGTTTCTCCTTGTTTCCAATGCTTTCAGAGTTTCTCTACGTAACGTCATCTTACGATTTAATACTGGGGTACCTGGAATCACACAAACTTATATGGTTAAAAATATTAATTATACATCTAGCTGAGTATATTAAATAAAACAAGTAATCCGATTCTTTTATATTTGAAACTAGTTTTGATCAGGTAGAGTGGTAGTTTTCCCCTCATCTATCAATACACGTTTTACTCTTCATATATTGAATTTAGGTAAGAAAATAAATTTACCTGGTCCTTCGTTTGCATTCATATTGAAGAAACGTTTTTTAAAGGCGACATCTAGCGTTCCTATATTTCTCTTCTTCTGACGCGCTTTCTCTAAATTGTGTATAGTCTTTCTTCGTCCCACATTCTGCGGCCCTGATCCCGAATCATTTTCATAATCATCGTCAAGGCCATTTAGTTTCTGCAAGTCTTTAACTATTGCTATTGCATTCTTGTCCAACAACGCGTCTTGTGACAGATCTTCAGACTAAATATAAAAAAAAAACGTTAATCTTACCAGAATTAAAATTCCAAAGTATATTGTTACATTGTGATTAAATACTTTACCTTCTTGGTGCAGAACCAATTTAGTTCCGTGGACGCCAAGATATGTGAAATGGTTCCAAATCGATGGAACAACATAGCAGTAAATTGGATAACCAAAATCAAAGCGAAGAAAAACACGAAAACTAAACCGATGGGTTCCAATTGCAAATACTCTTTCGAAATGAGCACCTAAAAATTTTAAATAAAGTTTAATTTACCATCCTTCCATTAGAAATATTACGCAACTGTAAAAAGCTTTAAGTATGCATAAAAAAGCAATTTAATAAATAAACAATAACAGCAATTTCGAAACATTCCTTGATGTAGAACGTGGTAAAATGAACAAATATGATCGTGAAAATGAATACATAAAACACATAATGATGTGCGAGATATGAAATTTCGTAATTGCGAGAAATGATAGTGATTTCGCAATAGTGACGAACTGGCTCAATATGATACTTTATATAGTATTAAAGAAAAATTAAAGACAGCTATGTTAAACAAATCACCACGTTCTTCGATAAAGATATGTACAAGTAAAATCAATAACCATCCAACCAAGTTTAATAGAAAAATCCACCACCTTAATAGACAGAAAAACAACTCCTCGGGGTATTGGGTAGAGTGCAAACAATGTAGGTAGTAACGAAAAAAAAAACTCAAACAAAAATTTAGAAACACGTCTTGTTTCTATCTTAATTATAGATAAAACTGTAGAAGGAAGGATTTCCAAGGCTAGGGGTTCAGGGCATATAATTAGATTATGTGTAGAACCGTTGTCGCCCAATTTTAGTCGTCGGTGTAGAAAAAAAAACTGGGACATCCATGCTGGTGCCATCCCAAAACAGACCGGTTAGAGGAAGGTCGTTAGACTTGTGAAGTGACACACACAACCGGGTAACATTTGGCTATACCTCGCCTGTATCCTCGATGTACGTAATATTTGTCTTTACTCCCAAAGGCCAAATCACGTGGAGTTGATCTTTGTTCAGTTGTAATAAAAATACTATCAATATGAATAAAGCATTGAACATTACAAATGCAAAAACTGACTTATTGCGAAGCTCTATCAAGTCACGTGCAATTCGTGCCTGTAAAATTACATAAAACAATAAAGATTAGCTGCATCAGCTTTCAAAGTTGACTGGGCACATGGTGCTACACATTAGCTTAGGTTAAAATACTTTTTCTCTGTGAGATACAATGAGCCGTCCTCAGTCATCGTTGAAGGCCGATTGCCACGAAGTAGTTTCTCACGTTACCTCTTGTGAAACCTCATCATACGTTATATTAGTTTTAACTCCAAAAGGCCACTTAAAGTGTAGGTTGTCCTTGTTCAGTTGTAGCAAAAATACAATGAGTACAAAAAGAGCATTGATCATAAAGAATGAAAACACAGAAGAGTCTCGCAATTCTTTCAGGTCTCTGGATATACGTGCCTAAAATTACGGGAAGGTGCAAATGTTTAAAAACTTTAAAAATATTTTTAATTACAAATTTTTCATTTTAATATTTAATTTAAATAAGCTTATCAGTGCATGCAAACTTAATTTGTAACTTTCTTAATGAAGTATAAATTTAAAAACATTTTAGGAAATTTTATTCCTCACATACTTACCGCAAATAGCATCAGATCTCAAGTTCTTTTACTCATTCAAATAACATATGTTTTAAGTTATGTCAATTCCGTTTTAAGGTCAATTACATCCGTTACAATACTCAATTAGCAATACATGCAAATGAAAGCTTACCTGCTCCTCTTTATTAGCGTCAATAGGATACAAATATTTATCAATTAAATCTTTCCAGAACTGTGTTTCGGATTGACTCAAAAAGTCAACTTCGCCCTTCTTGAGATCGGGGTCTTCGATCCAGTATGGATTTATTAAATCATCTCTTCTTTCCTATAACAGAAAAAAACATTATTGTTATAACGTCCTCTAATTCTCAAATTCCTTATCTCGCTATCTCCCAAATCACTAGCGGACGATTTTCTATTCTCTCTCTGTCTTTATCTTACTCTAGGAGCGGTCGACATTGTGTCCGCTTCAGAAGCCAGATCGTTGTCTTCTTCGGGCCCTTCAGCTAGAGGGTCTAGTTGATGATCACCAGCATTGCTTCCCCTGGGTCCTACAGATAATTTCCTTCCTCTGTTTAATCCATGGGGATCCACAGTTCTGTAAAATTTAAATTCACATTATTTTTGAACTTAGATATCTAACTGGAAGCACCATACAAAAGTATTTATGGTTTCCTCAATAGGGACAATTATCACAAACCCAACGGGTAAAATACAAAAATATTAAAAGTATTACAATACTCGCTTCGTTGTTAAACGTACCTTTCAATTGTATCTAGTTTCCTTTCTAATTTTTCAAGAGTAGACGCAATATGCAGCAGTTGTACTTTCTCTTCATTTCCTTTAGGATGTGTGCACAATAAACATTTGAACAATCCGGCAAACGAAAATTCAATTGAACCTTCTTCTTCATTGCTATTAACCCCTTGAAGGAAACCCAAGAGAGATTTTTGTTTAGCATTTTTCTTTGCTTCTTCGGCATCTTTTTTCTCTTGTTCAATTTCCTTTAAAATTAATTATTATATATTACTATTAAGATAATAATCCAATAAAGCTTTAAACATCATACTATTACAAAAATAGTTCTTACCTTTTTAGTTTTCTTTACTTGTACCTCACGAGTACCCCAGGATACGACGTTTAGATTTATGATGGAATACAAAATCAAAAGCAAGTACATGGAAGGTATAGATAGTAGATAAATTATTCCGGGTACAATACACCAAAATTCTTGTGGATGCAAACACGCTGCTATGAAAAATGAACTTGACAAAGATATCAAGAAGATAGCAGAAGGAGATCCTATACCGTCCTCGCCCAACTGTAGCGCTGTACCAACGATTACAGCCATCATTATCATCGCATATGCAGTCGAGAGTATTTGTGCCACCAATAACTAAAAATTACATAAAAACAAATTCATTACTTTGTCATAGTCATAAATATCTTATAAAGTTCAGGTCGTTTTAAAAAAGGATTTATAAAAGGTAGGTACGAAATTTTAATTAATATTTTTTTTAGTAAATAAGAAAATTGTTATTTTTATTCTTACCTGTATTTCGGATTTCATTGTAAAGCAAACGAACATAAATATCGCAATCGGGTACAGATTGTATTCGAAAGATGTCCAGTTGTCGATTCTAAAAG